GGGACCCTCTATCCAAAAGACCTCTTTCTGTTACCAGCATGCTGATTGGGACTTACTGTGATTTTCTTTGTGATGTCCCTTGATGCCTCTTTAAATTCCCAATTGAAAATTGTGCCACTGAGGTTTCTTCTTGGGTCAAAGCCAGCATGGACACTTTCATCCCTTCTCAGAAATACCAGCATACTCAACCGCTATAGCACAAAGGGACCACTATTTTTGGCTATACCAGTGTGGTGGCTCTTGTCACAACAGGTGTCTATTTGTTGCTGCTTGCAAGAAATGTAAGGGCATCCTTAAATAGCAAAGTCCCAGTTTGCCAAGAGAATGAGGCACCACATAGCTTCTAAGAACTTTGGCTCTTGCGATTACTGGCGGCTCTGTAATATGGCATTAAATAAGTGTAAGGTCTCTATTTCTCCCCTCTTCAATCAATATATAGTGTTATCATCCTCTGCTGAATGCTTTGCTGTAAATTCTTCTCAAAATCTACTCTTGACTAATCCAGAATATCCCTGCCTAACTTTCCTCCTAGAACTAGGTCTCTGTTGAGTGATATGCATATAACCTCTTCCATGATTTCTGCTATCATCTATAACCTAGATCCCCTACAAAGCATGTGGACCCAATGGTATCCCTGTAATAGTCATTAAGAAGTATGCTCCTAAATTGGCTCCTGTTCTCTCTAAACTGTATAATAAATGCCTTGCTACCTCCTGCCTGCTGGAAATAATCATCTGTTGTTCCAATTTTTAAGAACACTGGTGAACTCTCTGACCCTTCCAACTACTGGCTTATTAGCCTTCTACCTCTTTTTGAAAAACTTCTAGAGGTCCTAATCAATGCTTAATTGGTTAATCATCTCTCATCATAGGGCCTTTTCTCAGACAAGCAATATGGCTTTTGTTTCTCCAGGTTTACTGCTGATGTAGTGATGATATTTATGGAAAGAGTTTATCATACATGAGATAAAAACTGTGAAGCCCAGGCTATTGCATTGGACATCTTGAAAGCCTTTGACAAGGTCTGGTATTCAGGTCTTCTCCACAAGCTGAAAAGTTACGGTTTTGAACTGATCCAGTCTTTCCTATCAAATTGTGAAATGAGTTATCAGGAATAGCCATTTGTCTAGATCCTTTCGTACTAATGCAGATGTTCCCCAGGGCTCCATCCTTTATCCTACTCTAATTTTCATTAATGACCTTCCTGATGACATCAGCTCTCAACTTGGTATCTATGCTGACAACACAAAATTTACTCCTACCTTGATAGTAAGGCTTACCAGTGTGACATGATCAAAATGTCAGCTGATGTCCAAAACAACCTAGTCTGTCGTTATCTGGGGCAAAACTCCAAAACTAAACTTCTCTTCACTAATCATCTGAGAGATCCCCTGTTGCCTTTCATCAGTATGGCTGATGCTATCCTCCAGAAAAGTGACTTGTTGTACCTTCTCAGGCTCATGTTCTCTGCTGATATGAAATGGAAAAGACTATATTGAATCCATTGCTAGGTCAGCTGCTATGAAAACCAGTTCACTGTGTTAGGCAAGACAATTTTTCTCTCCAAAATCTGTCTTACATATCTATAAGTCTACTATTTGTTGATGCTTAGAATGTTGCTGTCACATATGATCCAGTGCACCTGATATATATTTGATAAGATCCAAAGAAGAATCTGCAATATTATCACCGTAAGATTGCCTCTATATGGCTTTTCTATAAATACTTTCATGGTAATTGTTCAAATGAGCTCTTCGCTATGGTATCAAGACTTTATAAATTTAAGCACATTTCTCAAGATCTCATCAATTAAATTTTAGCTGAGCTGGCTAGATGTAGTTGTAAGTTCTATTCTAACAGTTTCTTCTCTTGTGGAACTCTCTTCCAGCTCCATGTTTTCCAGCCAACTTTAATTTGCAAAAATTTAAATGCAATGTCAATCTCTATTTACTGTCCACCTCATTACTCTCTTCTCTTTCTGTTCATCATTAATGTTTCAGTTCCTAATCCTTCCACACCATATAACTCCTTGTATTTTAGTGGCATTACTGTCTTACTTGGAGTGATTCCAATTTAAAAAAAAGAAAAGAAAAGATCCTTAACATCAAGAAATCCACCAACACAAAGTCACAAGCCGTATTTATGATTTGACCAGTATAAAGAGTCCTGCACAGTTATTCAAATATTTGTCACTATAAGACTTTTAAGATAATCTAAAGGCTAAGTAGATTGTCATCTTGCCATGAAAAATTGAATGTGGGCATTTGGATGCTGTAGGCAGAAGGAGAGAGAAACTCCATGAATCAAGTTGGAAAGTAAATAATGAACAATTGTCAATTTTTGCTCATTGCCAACAACATTGAATATCCTGAAGATTTTATATAAAATGGAAATTCTTTCATCAGAGAATAACAATATGACTTTTAGAAATCCTGGTCACTTTGATTAATCTCCAACATAAATGATTAAAGATCAAAAGTATACATAATACCAATAAATGAATATTTTGTTCATAATTTCATATGAAATATCTAAGTTCTCTCTGGAGTACGTGTTACAGATCTTCTCTAAATCTTAATCTCTTAACATTTCCATCTCTCTTTTTTGATGTTTTTGTTTTATTTTTTAGTAAAATCTTACATAATATGTAACCTTTTCTAATCTTCTCATAATAATATCCATCACATCTAATCACTCCAAATTTTATCAAGTGTCTATATTAATAGAGCTGTAATAATCACTCTCTATATCTTTTTCTGAGTAAAATAAAATGGTTTCTTATAAATTGTAATATTCTCATTTACAATAAATAACTACTTTTATTTTATTCTAAAAATATTTTATTATTAATTCTGCTAATGTCATACTCTGAAAAAGTAATGTTTGTCTGAAAGTTATTGACTAATGAAAAAAAAACAAATACAACAATATTAACTAGGAAAAACTAAAAAAAAAAGATGATAATCTAATAATTCAATAAAGTAAATTTGTGTAAATATTATAAGTTTATGGATTCCATCTATTAGGTTGGTGCAAAAATAATTTCGTTTTCTAATATATGTTACTATTTGAGAAAACGAAATTATTTTTGCACCAACCTAATATTAAGATTTTCCTCAATAAAGTTTCTGATTTTCTTTTTAATTTTAGATAATTTTTTTCAAAACTATAACATTTTTAATTGATATTTTTAAATATAGTATTTTTGGATTATGCAGTAAAAGTTTATTTTCATTCCATGAATTTTTACTAGATTGTTAGAGGCAAAAGTGGAAGCCTTTCTGCTCATGATTTGTGGGTTTTATGAATTCAAAAATTTATCCATTCAAAACTGGGTCATAATGGAATTGAAATTGTGAGAAAATTAATTTTTCTGAATTTGAAGATACAACTTTAAATGAGCAGATTATAAGTGAAAAGATTTGAGTTGACATTCCAGGTTAGTAAAGCAAGAGATAATTGATTAAAACGATAATGAATATTTGAAGGCTGTGATTGGAAAATGATTTAAAAACCTTATTCAGAGAACTCTCAAACTTTAGTATATCAATTGAGATTCATATAAGTGATGATCAAAAAAAGTTCAACAAATTCTATTTCAATTAAATGATGAACAAAGTAACAGACATATTATCAATACATTATGCTTAACAATATGAAACCTTTCTATTTTTGCATAGTATCATCATATGTAAGAAAAATGATAACTAGAATTTGTTTTATAAGAAAGGATTAGCATAATAGTTTATGATAAGATGCTGAAACCCAAAGAAAATTGTATTGTCATTTCTGGAAGGTTATAACAAACATTTGGTTGAAGAGGTTTGGTGAGAAACATCAGAACTTCTTTCAAAGTGGCCATATGAATAATACATTCAACACTCAAAGCCTAGTTTGGTGAAAGGAAAGTGCCATTTGGCTGAATGATAATGCCTGCTTTCATGTTGCAGAAATATTTCAAAAGTTGAATCAGTTGAAAATAGAAACTGCCAATACACCCAACTTCTCATTTATGGATTGCCAGGTTTTCTTTTTTAGTCAAACATCTAGACCACTTCCTTTCAGAGAATGTCTTTGCTAATCAGAATCAAACTGAAGAAGCCTTTGATGAAATTAGCAATATTTTAAATGAGGAAGAAACTGATAACTTACTACCAATCGAGAGATGAAGTGGCAATATTTTTAATGACAAAATTACATTTTATTTTGCTGAAATAAATCAGAAATTTCAGACTGAATAGCTGAAAATAAATTATACTTTATCTGCTTTAAAAAGTAATTTTTTTTCTTGTATAAATTCTTGCTCAGTTTATTGAACACATTTAGAATTTAGTATGAAGCAGATATTCCATTATGCCCCGCTACCAACTTTTTTGGTGATTTTCTTTTCTTTACTAATAAAATATTTCTTTTTTTTCTTTTTTTTTTAACCTGCCACAAAAGTTTTGTCATTATTTTAATCATACAGATCTTGGAAAGACTGTCTGTAATCACATAATTATATTAATAATAGTTATTTTTCTGTTTGTGCTAATGAATATAAAGTGACATTTTATTATTATTCAAAGTGTAGAGTTTAATCTTTCCTTGTTTTAAGTACAAATAAATTTGTAATCCAGTCCTATACCATTCTCCTTTGGAAAATGAAGACAGATTCTTTCTGGCAAACACTGTTTGGATTAATTCAAAGGACTTATGTTTTCCACAAAATGATACAAAATAACATTACTGATAGATCATATTCTTTCTCCATCTTTTGAACAGAAGTAGAAGTTTATCTTTTGTTTTCTGTTTACGATTGGGTTTTTAGTTCCTTCTAAAGTTGTATTTTCTTTCACCAGTAACCCCTTGTGTCTTAGTGGCATTATAATTTTGCTTGGCATGAAATGATTAATAAAAGAATAAAAAAAAGATAGTAAATAGGCTGATATTTCATTAATGTCTTTCACTTATCTTTTATTTTTTGTTTACAAAATGTATAAAGAAAATCTTTCAACTCACTTAGTAAGGCAGCGCCATAAAATCGTACTGGTAGTGTGACACATTGGTGCTCAACAGCATGGATTGTAGTCTCATAAAGATTTTGTGGAAATATGAGAGCCTGAAAGCAAAGAAAAGATTTAAATATTTTTTTTGCTACAGCCACACCACAAGTGGTCAATGAAATATTCATTTAAAAATTAAGATTTTGTCTAACACCAGATTAGATAAAAAAACAAACACTTACACAATGGTGACTATATTGTTTTTATTACTTCCAGATTAATAGTGTCAATAATAAAGATAATTCCTGCCTTTCATTCACGAAACTTTCTCTGAGTCTTTGGGAATTTTTCTTTTTTATTTATGAGGAAAGAAATGTGGGAGAGGCAAAATATATAGCCCAATATTGTGCTTTAAGAGATGTTATTCTAAAAGTGTGAAATCTAATCCTGGGAATTAACAGTAACATTTTTGGTTTCTTTGAAAACCTAAAAATAATGTTTTAATGTTTTTTTTTTTTTTTTTTTAGCAGCAGCAAAGGATTTGTGTCTAAGTGTCTCCAAGACAGTAAATAATTTTCTGTTATGCTTTTGACAGAATTTTCAAAGAATTTACTTTCAGATGCTTTCAACATGTCAAGTTATTTATTAGCAATATATTTTACTCCTTTCACTTTCAAACAAGAACAATTTTACATGCATTAATGCTTTAATTATGAGTCAGACTGACATTTGTGACATTGTTGAGATTTAATATTTCTATTCTGACAATCACTATGATGATGACGACAAAAGTTATGCAAATACATTTCTTAATTTTGTACATGTGCCAGTAACTTATTACTTGGTAAATTTATTATTCACCAGTTTTATAAAAAAAATGTTACCCTATCTCTATATAGATAAAAATTACTGAATTAAAAAGAAAGAAAAAAGTAAAATGTCAAATAGTGTTGAAAAGTTCATAGCCCAACCCACTTCCCAAAATTTAATAAAATGACAAAACATCAAAAATAAAAAATACCATAAAAATAAAAAAAATCCTAGGTCAGGTTAAAGACTTTTAAGCATTCCTTCATATACGCTCTGTGTATCTATGTGCATGTGTGCACATAATGTTTTATATTCTTTAATGTAATGAGAAAATATTCACTTTTTTTTTTTTTTTTTTTTTTAAGCAGTAAATTTTTCAAATTATTTGTAAACATTCTTATAGAAACATTGAAATCTTCAATGTAGATTAATATCTCAAATTATTAATTAAAACATAGCAACAGATTTTATTCATATTTTAAATGCTTAACATGTAATATTTTTGATAGGGAACACTTTTATTATTAGTGAATAAATTACTAGTAGTCTTAAGAATTTATATTCACTGATCATTTTCCATTATGTCTACATTTCAAGTAATGCATTACTGAAGCAGAGAAATGCATCGGCAAATCTCCTTACAGGTAAATGCTAACATCATACAAGCTCATAACTAAAATGATTTAAATTTTTGAACTGCAAGGAAATTTCTATCAAGGTGAAATGAGCACTTAAATTGTTGAAATATTCTTTGAGTTGACTACTTTTGAGAAGATTGTTCCTATAATAAAAAAGAATTTTTTTTGGAAGGTGAGGATAAATTAATTAAAATTATATAAGTGGGCACAACAGTGATTTAATTATGCTTTTTGGTTTTCAGAATTAATTTAATAAGAAAGGCATAAGAGAAACAACCTTTCTTTTAAAATGATTGCCACCATAACATAGTGAGCAAACATTGAGGTGTAATAAGATTTTTGCATGCTAAGAGTAAAAATTTAACTTTGGGTCACAAAGTAATTTACAGAAGAACAGAAGTTCCAGTGCAAGAGTATTTCTATTCAACATTTGGGATAGTATGGGAGCTGATGGAGTTTTCTTGGAGCAGGTGATGAAATCTGGGAGTATCACATTACCTGGCCAGCTGGTAAGCACATTCAGATATTGTGAAACACTGAACAGACTGAGCAAAGCTGTTCATTGAAAGAAACCAGGACATTTGTGTAAAGGAGTCATCTTATTGCACAACAATGTCATCTTATACATATAGCCAACCTGACAAAAAAGTGGCTCCAATGATAAAGGTTAGGATGTTTTTATCACATTGTTCTGACTTAGCGCATTTAGATTATCATCTATGTGGACCTTTGAAATAACACCGTGGAACCACTTTCCAGATTGGTACAAAGTTGCAACAGTGTCACCAACTGATTGATGCCATATTCTTTGCGGAGACAAATTTTATATGTAAATATATCAATATACATATTATATATATATATATATATATATATATATATATATATAGGAAAGAAGTGCAGATTGTAGTGCTGGTGACATATATACAGTTTTATTTGTATAATAATAAAAAGGTCCCATACTGTATCCCAAATGAATCTACTAATAGAAAATAGTGTTCCTAATTCCTCTCCTGAGGCCAATGTACATAGGATAGTAGTGGTGGCGGGGAATCCTATGTTGATGACACATGCATTCATAGTTGGGACAAGAATAATCTTGTACAAAATATCATCATCCTCTACCAAGTATTCCAAAAGTAGGAGTCAAATGTTTCCAAAACAGAAATAATGATCTGGAATTGGAATGAAAGCAGCAATGGTGAGAACCCTGAGTCTTTCATAAAAATTCAGGATGAGAAATTCTTCTATGTGCCATGTTCCATCATGGCTCTCCACAATTTCTTGTCCCTTGTAGCTCTTAGTAAAATTTATCGTTTTGCTATCTCTACTAATCCCTGTTCTGTCAACCATTTACATAAGCTTGTTAGGTAGGTTATGACTTGCTTTCTTTTGTCTCTCTTGTCTTTAATATATAATATAAAAATTGATATGCTGCTAAACAAAAATAACCAAACCAAACTGTCCTGTGAGTGTTAAATTTTCTAAACCCTCTTTCCTCATGTGCTCTAGAAATTTTAACTCTTTCTGATTCTAAGTTTGTTTCCTATGTAGAATTAGTAAATACTAAACATTCCAAATATCTTTGTGTATGGATCAGTTACAATAAATTTAGTATAGAACATTGAACATAGAATAGGCTGTGCTCAAGTTAGTTTCATCCAACACTGCAAGAAAAACTAAAACATTACCTAAAATCTTGAGTTATGTTCTTAAAGTCTCATCAGATTGAAACTTTCATATGGAGGCCATGCATGGCACCAAACTCATTCAGAAATATCTAAACTGTTGGCTGTACAAATGTTTTCTCAGAGTGATGATTAAAAATGGCTTTAAGTAGATGAAGCCTGTAGGTATTAGAGAGAACCATCCTTCTTTGAACCTCAGAGACTGGTGTTACAGAATCACAAAACAAAGAACTGTACCAAGTAACAGAAATGGCATCACTTGAGAGCTTTCAAACAGCAGCAAAAATTAAAACGGGTAGCACATGTAAATCAAAGAGAATAATAACATGATCAAGATGCTGACTTTCCACACTACTTCAAACAAAGAGCAAGGAAGGAAGATTTAATAAATTTCAACCAAAAGCAGCACTGACAGCTCAGTAAATAAATACTGAATGTTTCTTTATAAGAAAATGATTATTACCATTATGTTGGATTATTAAATGTTTGTACCTTACGTTTTGGACATGCCACATAGTGATCTAGATGGTTACATGCTTAATATATCAGTAGCTGATTTATAATTTTTTTTTATCTAACAAATGTTATAAAATAGAAGATCTAGACACAAGTAATAATGGAAAGTGAAGTCTGATCGAAATGTAATAAATGGTTAAAAAAATTATACATTATTCTCTTAGAATTAACGATAGATTTAAAAAAAAAAAATCAAGAAATACGCAAATTATATTTCAAAGCAAAAATATCCTTTAGTAAGTAATACAATCTTATGAAATATTGTGCATTTTAACTTATATTTTGCTGTATTTTTGTTATTTTTACCAGATTGACAAAAATATTTTTATTCATCTATTCTAAATTTGATCAGTAAAAGAAAGAAAGAAAAAATTTATAAAGCAACATTTTAGTTACAATGCAAAAATCTAAAGGCCAATTTCTTTGTACTAATGATCTCTTCTTAAAAAGAAGTCTTCATGTATGTAACAAGAGAAATCCTAAAAATATTTGTGGCTTGTTATCTGTGCTTTAGTATAAAGCTATTCTAATTACATCTCAACTACAGAATTATTTACTTACTCTCAATCTGTAATATTCTGGATGTCCATCATAAATTCATTCTTTTATTTATTTATTTTTAAATATTCTTTTTTAAAATACTTAATCATTAATTTACGTTTCATTCAATTCAGATAATTCATTTTGCTACTTTTAGAAAGATGAACATGAAAGCCACTTAAACCATCTATTCATAATCTTATACACAGAAAGCAAATGAAAAAATACAATGACACCACAAAAAATATTATACACTTTAGCAATTACTGAAAATAAAAGAGAATAATTCTTTCTTTCTCCGCTAATGCCTCAATATAATTCTTCTTTCCTGAAAATGTTTCATGCAGATGATACAAGTGAAATCTTGGAGAAACAAAGAAGACAACAATGTCAAAAACTTTGATAAATCTTTGGCTAAAAAAAAAATACATGGCCAACCAAAATAACAGAATTTGTTCAGTTTAAAAGTGAGAAATGAATAAAAGTTCTGTCATTGATGGCACGGTTTGCTAATAAACTCAGAAATGTTTGAGTGGCTTCTTATCATTGTGAACAAATGCTCCAATTATACACACAATTTCCATAACAAAAATCTGGATGCTGTTTATTATGAAAGTGACAGAGAATCAAAGAATGTCCATATAAACTTGTTGGAAAGTTTCACTAATATGACTCAATTTTTCATGTAAAAGTAAGGGAATTCACTATTCTAGATAAGGATAGGTTGAAATATTCTGAAATCTTTTCAGTTTATGCTTAATAATGTTTGTTTTTAAAGTATTAAATTTTCAAAGTGAGAAGATTTTACACCAGTTAAACTAATATAAACACCACTGGCATGCAAGAAATACAAACTCTTACAATAATTTTAAACCAAATATACAGGTCAATAATTTTGGTGTGCCAAAAAATATTTGATTAGAA